ATATATACACACTCACACACAACTCACATACACACACATACACATACACACATGCACATACACACATATGCACACACAAAGACACATACATACACACACACACACATGCACACACATACACATACACACACATGCACATACATACACACATATGCACACACAAAGACACACACACACACACACACACACAATTTTTTCCAGACAAGGTTTTTCTGTGTAGCCCTGGTTGTCCTAGAACTAACTCTGTAGACCATGCTGGCCTATAATTTACAATTCTTCTGTTTTGGTCACCATGCCTGGCTTGACTTTTCCTATCATTTTAATTTATGACATACACGTACCCATCTCTTATGACGACAACCACCATGGTCACAGTGTGGGCTCAAAGCCATGATGTGATAAATACTGTCACTGGTCATCACACCCTGCTGTGAGGGAAGAGAGCGAAGCTCAAGTGGGCAGGGAGAGAAGAGAAGGCAGAGGAGGAGAGTGGGCAGGCAGAAAAGTCAAAGCTTGGATGCTGGACCACTAACCCCAGCTATCCTCACATGGAGGAACAAGTCCTTCATTGATAGAGATGGCAGACACTAGCCCTGTCCGCTGACTCTTGGCCTGGCAGAAAGGACGTTTTGTTTTAGTTTCTCTTTTTTCTTTTCTTCATCGTCTTTTTTTTTTTTTTTTTTTTTTTTTTTTTTTTTTGAGACAGGGTGTCACTGTGTGTAGCCCCAGCTGGCCTGGAACTTGCTATGTATACCTAGCTAGCCTTCACCTGCCTCTGTCTCCCTAGATAGTGAGACTGCCTTTTCATAAGTGGTTATAGAACTTCCTAAGTCATTATTCCATGAATATGCTTTTGGACTGTTTACAAAATTTATGTGAATATTGACCCAAATTCTACTGTCTTAGAATTTGTACTGAGTGATTTAGGATCTCCTTCTTTCCTTTCTTCCGTTCTTCGTTTCTTCCTTCCTTCCTTCCTTTTTTCCTTCCTTCTCTTTCTCTCTCTCTCTCCTCTCTCCTCTCTCTCTCTCTCTCTCTCGTTTTCCAGACAGGGTTTCTATGTAGCACTGACTGTCCTGGAACTTGCTCTATAGATCAGGCTGGCCTTGAACTCACAGAAATTCACCTGCCTCTGCCTCCCAAGTGCTGGGATTAAAGGTATGCAACATGACTGCCTGGCACAAATTCTATTTTCTTAACTTAATTTTATTATTTATTTATTTATTTATTTATTTATTTATTGGTTTTTTGAGACAGGGTTTCTCTGTATGGCTTTGGAGCCTGTCCTGGAACTCACTCTGTAGACCAGGCTGGCTTCAAACTCACAGAGATCCACCTGCCTCTGCTTCCTGAGTGCTGGGGTTAAAGGTGTACCAACGCCTGGCTTTTTTTTTTTTAATTTATGTATATGAATGTTTTAGTTGCATTTATGTCTGTGTACCATTTGTATGCCTGGTGCCTGCAAAGGCCTGAAGGAAGATGGTTAGATCCCCTAGTAACTGGAGTTACAGATGGTTGTGAGCTGCTATGTGGGTGGCAAAACCTGGTCTTCTGCAAGAGCTGCAAGTGCTTTTAACTGATGAGCTATCTCTCTAGCCCTGTTTTGTTTTGTGAGACAGGGTTTCAAGTAGCCCAGGTTGGCCTCTAACTCATTTTTTGTAGCCAAGGATGACCTTGAACTTATGATCCTTCTGCCTCTATCCCCCAAGTTGCTGACAGAACACATTAAAACGTCCATCCCAGAAACTGCTGTCTGTTGTCACAGGTTACCCATAACATCCCGTTTTGGTAGGGGTAGATTTATAACTTTGTCCTCCCTCCAGTATCAACACCCCAGAGCACCCTGCAAACAGCACCCTGCTATCCTTCCTATACTTGATTCAGACCAGTTTTCTTTTAGCATGGTGTAGTTTGGGTGCCTTCGGGTCCATGTGCCTATCACATGCCCTGGTGCCTGTGTCCTATGAGCTGCTCCCTGTAGTTGGTTTTTGTTTTTACTTTTGCTCTTTTGGGGCCTGTCACTAGCTCCCAAATAAACACATGGAGACTTACTCTTTTTTAAAAAATTTATTTATTATGTATATAACATTCTGCTTCCATGTATATCTGCACACCAGAAGAGGGCACCAGATCTCATTATTACAGATGGTTGTGAGCCACCATGTGGTTGCTGGGAATTGAACTCAGGACCTCTGGAAAAGCAGTCAGTGCTCTTAACCTCTGAGCCATCTCTCCAGCCCCAGAGACTTATTCTTAATAATTAATGTGAGGCCTTAGCTTGGCTTGTTTCTAGACAGGTTTTCTTTCTCTTTCTTTCTTTCTTTCTTTCTTTCTTTCTTCTTTCTTTTCTTTTATTTTCTTTCTTTTTTTTTTGAGACACAGTTTCCTTGTGTAGTTTTGGAGGCTGTTTCTTTCTTTCTTTCTTCTTTCTTTTCTTTTATTTTCTTTCTTTTTTTTTTTGAGACACAGTTTCCTTGTGTAGTTTTGGAGGCTGTCCTGGAACTAGCTCTTGTAGACCAGGCTGTCCTCAAACTCAGAGATCCACCTGCCTCTGCCTCCTGAGTGCTGGGATTAAAGGTGTATGCCACCAACGCTTGGCTAGACAGCTTTTCTTAAATTGTCCCATTTACCTTTTGCCTCTGGGCTTTTACTTTTCTCTATTCTATATACCTCATTTTCCTTTTTACTGGTGGGTGCCTAGCTGGCCCCTAGCATTTTCCTCTCCTCCTTTCTTTGCTTCTTCTCTTCTCTCTTACAAGCCTAGATTTCTCCTCCTATTTAATTTTTTCTGCCTGTGCAGCCCTACCCACGATCCTTCTCCTGCCTAGCTGTTGGCCATTCAGCTCTTTATTAGGCCAATCATGTGTTTTAGGTAGGCAAAGTAACATAGCTTTACAGAATTAAACAAAGATAACATAAAAGAATGCAACACATCTTTGTATTATTAAACAAATAACTCCACAGCATAAACAAATGAAACACATCTTCAACTAACATTCCACAATAGCTCCCTCTCTTTCTCTTGCAGTGGGTAGTGAAAAGGGAGGTCTTTTTTTGTAGCTCCTGCCTTCTATTTTGTTCTTCTTGCTCTGTCATTTCACACTTGGCCATATTATCCTGGCTGGGGTGTATGCATTTCTGTTTTTTTTTTTTCCTTTGGTTTTTTTCGAGACAGGGTTTCTCTGTGTAGCTTTGGAGCCTATCCTGGCACTTGCTCTGGAGACCAGGCTGGCCTCGAACTCACAGAGATCCGCCTGCCTCTGCCTCCCGAGTGCTGGGATTAAAGGAGTGCGCCACCAACGCCCGGCCGGTGTATGCATTTCTATGTTGAATGTTCACCTCCATCCCCAAGTGTGCCGTCCCAATTTATTCATATATGCTCAAGCTACAATCAGTGAGACAGTTCACTTCCTGCTGCCTTTCGATCAAGATGCAGAATTCTCCAGCACCATGTCTGCCTACATGACACCATATCCCAGCCACCATGCTCCCTGCCATGATAATGGATTAAACCTCTGAGCTGTAAGTGCATCACCTCACTTAAATGTTTTCCTTTATTAGAGTGTGGTGGTCATGGTGTCTCTTCACAGCAATAGAAATCCTAACTATGACATTATGTAAACTTTAAGAATGTGAACAATTGGGACCAGAGAGATGGCTCACCAGTTAAGAGGCACTAGCTGCTCTTGCATTGGGCCCAGATTCGTTTCCCAGCACCCACACGACTCAAAGCCCTCCAGTTTGGGAAGTGGGGAGTCCAGCAACCTCTTCTGGCCTCCATGGACACTACATGAATGTAGTGCATATGCATACATGCAGGTAAAATACTCACATACATAAACATTTTAAAGGAAATGTTTTCTAAAATATGAGCATGGCTGGATGTTGGTGGCGCTCGCCTTTAATCCCAGCACTCAGAAGGTAGAGGCAGGCGGATCTCTGTGAGTTCAAGGCCAGCCTGGTCTCCAGAGCGAGTGCCAGGATAGGCTCCAAAGCTATACAGAGAAGCCCTGTCACGAAAATAAATAAAGAAAATAAAAGCATGGAAAAACTCTAAAAGCCAAACCAGTCAATGGGCTGGGTTCATCCCTAGGTGCCCATCTGGAGACATACAGGAAAGTTAGAATTGATGGATGTGTGGTCCCCTGCTGTGTGAAAGGCTGTGCCTGAGGGCAGGGTTGGGCTGGGACTTTGCTCAAGGTATAGCACTGGGTCTTGTCAGAGGGTGACTGTGGCTTCCAATACGTGTGGCCCCGGGTATGCTCTCGATTCTTGCCCTGGTACCTACTTTCCAAGATGCAGATGGCAGAAGCCAGAGCAAACATCATGGAAACAATCTGGGCCAAAAGTGGGCAGCCATTCTGGTTGGCCAGTTTGAAATCGAATGGCCTTACATCCATCCCAGTTTCTTTCCACCCCCTTAGTCCAATGATGGTTTGGTCACCCTCCCTGAGCCCTGTCCCATGGAATACTACATAAAATTCCATAGTGTCCCTATGTCTTCTGGCACTGGCACGTTCATGTTTGTGTGTGGTGGTGAAGCTCCTCTCTCTATTCCAAGATGAGAAGGCCAGGGAGTGGGGCCTAGGGCAAGAGACACCAGAAGTCTGATTCTAAGCCTTAAAAGGGTTCTAGGGACCCAGGTGTGTGTATCCCTACCATGAAGCCTATATAAGTACTTTCTACCCAATACTCTCTACTGCCTTTCAGAACCTCAACAGGTAACCTGGGCATGGGTCTCAGGAACCGGCTTGCTCACCATGGAAATACAGCTAGCTTTTGCCCGTCTGAAATACCCCTCCAGTTTATTCCCCAGCCCTGTCAGAGCCCAGGTGACTCAGAAGGAACAACCTAAGAACATTCTTATTTCCAAAACATTTTGGACCCTTCTGTCCTTTTACCGTTGTCCCACTGCATGGATAAGGGCAGAGCTTAGAAAATAAACGCTTGTGGTTATTTACTGAAGGTCTGGGGAGGGGAGGAGCAGGGGACTTGCTGGTTTAGTCGCTACTGGGGCCAGCGCGGGACCAGCGTGGGGTGAAGTGGTTGGCCAGGTAGCGCATAGCTGAACGGATGCCTTCCACAGTTCGTCTCTCCACAGACTCCAGGAGGTGTGTGACTGAGCGCAGGGCCGAGCCAGTTCCAGCCACCAACCCTGAGGAGAAAGCTGACCTGGCACTGCCTAAGAGGCTGGAGACGGTGTGCAGGCTGGGACCCTCATCATGTAGCCTGTCAGCTGGAGAGCTGCGGCCTGAAGCCAGAAAGCCCACAGCCAAACCCATGCCCGTGGCTGTGTCTGACCACACCAGGATGTCTGCAAGAGAGCTGATGGAGCCTTCACCACCGCCCAGCAGGCTAGTCATGGAACGCATGTAGTCATTCTCCACGTCAGGCCTGTACAGGCTGGGGTCTAGAAGAGTCCTGCCCTGGGACGTGTGGCTGGGATCTGGAGAGGGAGGTGCACTGCCCGCTGGGGAGCTGGGGGAAGGTGGGGAAGTCTGCAGGGTACTTGAGTTGTTAGATAAATCCTCCCTGGTCAGCACCTGGGATCTAGCTTTGCTTTTGGGGTTCGAGGCCTTGACGCCTTCAGCTTCCTGCTCAGCACACTTGGTGATACCCATGCTCTCTTGGTCAGGACTACTGGTATCCAAAGTGGTTGCGTCAGCAGCTCCCACAGAAGACTGGCCATCTTCAGAGGGGGCAGCTGTTTCTGGCTCCCCTTCAGGAACACTGAGCTTTTCTGCTGTCTTCTCCAGGTTCTGGGAGTCACTTGCGGAAACTGTGCGGCTCCGACTTGCACGGTTATTTTCAGCTAGTCTGTCCCACACTGGATTCTGGAAGCCCACAAACATTTGCGGGACCACTGGGCCTTGGGACAGCAGAGATGTGACTTCTTCAGGATTCTCCTGGTTATGGCTTGGAGAATCTGGGTTCTCATCTTTGTCCCCAGAATTTGACATATCCATGGAAATGGCTGTCTCTACATCTTGCCTTATGGAGGTGGCCATCTGCATGGAGGCCTGATTCCTATCTACTCCCACGGAAGTGGTGATTGGCTTGGACTCTTGGGCTTCATCCTGTCCCATGGAGGAGGTAATCTGTGTGGATGCCTGGTCTGTCTCTGGCCCAATGAGAGTGGCAATCTTTGTGGACTCCCGGTCTACATGTTGCTCCATGGAGGTTGCATTCTGTATGGAGGCCCGGTCTTTAACCTGCTCTGTGAAGGTGTCTTTCTCAGTGGAGATTTGATCTTCATCTTGCTCTGTGACAATGGTTGTTGTCACAGAGGCCTGGTTTACATCCTTCTCTTCAGCTAATGTTGTAGTGCTTTCAACTGGTGGGCCATTATAGTCTGAATTTTGGAACTCTCCAGGTAAGTCTGCAGAGTAGTCATCAGCTTCACTGTCCACGGAGGCCTCGGAAAGATCATATACTGGCTTGCTGGTGGCTTCAGCCTCATGCCAGGGCTCGGTGATCATCTATGCCCCCTGCTACGTGTGGTGGTTGAGGAGGAGTGGCTTGGCTCTGCTAGGCTCAGTTGTCCAAGTGGTGAGGTCACAGGAGGTGGTGGGCAGCTAGTGATGTCACAGGTACTTGCAGAGCAGGGGTCTTGAGTGTCCTGAGCCTACCAAGTGGCTGTCCTGGTGGGCTGAATATAGGGGATGATTTGGAGCCAGAGTTGCAGGTACATGGGAATTGAAAGATGACTGTCTCGGTTTACGATGGAGGTGTGTAGGTAGGTACAGGTCCGCAGCCACGGGGCTGTGAGACGTTTCGATGACAATACTTTTTTTTTTAATTTCTTGGGGTGGGTGGAGAATTGGTGTCTTGCTGTGTAGTTCAGATTGATTTCCCACTCTGATCCTCCTGCCTTAGCCTCTCAGGAGCTGGGATTACAGACATGCTACACCAGCTTAGAATCAAGATTTATATCACCACCTCTCTGTCCTCATTGGTGTTTCAGGACACCAATTTAGCCAGTCTTTCTTTGGGACACATTTCTCTAGTAATGGGGAGGGATACTGGAGAGCAGGGCCTGGTAGGCATCTAGGCTGACTATCCTTAGTGCTAGAGTTAACCTTGTGACACAGGACACTCTACCTGCTTAGCTGGGCTGGAAGGACAGGGGGCTGCAAACTCGGGAGTAGTCCTAAAAAGAGCGTGGACCCTGGAACACACTGTATTAAGCAGGTAGCTGGGGGTTAGGTGTGGCTGAGTGGTAGAGCACTTGCCTAGCATGTATCTGGTTTCCTCCCTAGAGAAGAGGTTGGAGTGGAAGGTTCCATCTGCGTGCTTGTGCTCACTCTGGTTGTCCAGACCAGGCATCGTTCCTGCTCCTCAGGGCTGAGGAGCATCTGATCCCACCCCAGCGTCTCCCAGAAGTCCTAGGTCTATATTCACATCTTCCCTCCTGGGAGTGGTGGGGGAGGGTGGACATCAGCTTCTTCAAAATCACTGACCCTGGGATTTGCCTCGCGCCTGTCTTCAGTCTTCAAGCTCTTCAGGTTTTGTTCCCAGTGGGAATACTTTGAAGTTGAGGCCAGCGAGACAGCTCACTGGGGAAGGGCTCTTGCCTCCAATCCTGTGATGATCTGAATGTGATGTCCAGGACCCACACAGTAGAAGAGAACTGACTGACTGCTTCAAGTCGTCCTCTGCTCTCCACATATGTACCATGGCAACATACACACATGTTCACACACACACACACACA